TTTTTTTTTTTGTAGGATGAATCCTGCATCCGAAGGATTCAATCATTATCAAAATGAATTGGCCAAAGCTAAACAAGAAATAGAAAAATTAAAGGAACGAATTAAAGCTATGCAAGAAGGAATATCTATGAATCTGACTCAAGTTGTAGATAATAGAGTTGAAACAAATGCATCTCAAGAAGTAGAAGGTTAGTACATTTTTTTTTCAAGTTATTAAACTTATAATTTATGAAATTTATTACATTTTAGTTCTTAAAGAAAAATTAAAATCTCAAGAAATTCAAAATCAAAGGCTACGTGAAGTTTTTAAAAAGAGTAGTCAAGAATTTAGAGAGTCTGTTTACACATTGTTAGGTTTTAAGGTTGATGGACTTCAAAATAACATGTATAGACTGACAAGCCAATTTGCTTTTCATGAAGAAGACAACTTAATGTTCCAAGTATTTATTTATTTGATTCTTTGATAAGTAATAATTTATTTTTATTTTTATTACTGATTATAAGGTGACAACTATAGCTATTAACTGTATGAGGGAACGGTTAGTTTGGAACACCTAGTATTAGAGATGGGAATTATGGTTCATTTAAGTGATCCGAWTCATTCAGATYAGGTCATCAAGAAGATCCGGTTCAAAGACCCGTTCGCGATCTGATAGGTTATTTTGAGCATATATTGAATCAAAACCATTGAACGGGAATATTATGTTCTATTGTCGTGATTCCCAAACGGTTCGCGTCGTTCGTGACATGAGTAATAATATAATAGTATAATAATAATATGATTCGGGACACAGTGTGAACCAATAMGGAAAAAAAATATCAGTGCTCCGAATCACCTCAGTTTGGCGATCTGGATCACTCGTTCACTACTTTGAACCGTTCAATAAGATCCGTTCGTTCGCGAACGACACATCTCTACCAAGTATATGTATGGCAAGGAGATTTGTTGCTAAATACTCTGGTGGTCACCTATCTGAGAGCTATTAACACTGCATTTAGGCATTAAAGAGTACGACCGTGTCACTTCAATAATTTATTTACTCTGTAACAATCATTTAATTTGATGTTATTAATATTTGATTGACTTGGATTGCATGGAAGGGGCGCACAGACCCTTCTAACTTGACTTAGACATGAATTATTAGAAGTTAAAATTTATGGTTTGATTTTATTTATTAATTTTAGTAGTTTCCTAAGCTTTTTACTTTTTAGACATTAGTTTCAATTGCTCTGTCATTTTAATCGGATTTATTTGGGAAAACAGTAGACACACTGTATGCGAGACTGAAATAATTAGTGAGGAGAATGTACTGAGGGTTGTCCAGGCAATGAGTCACTTTATATTATCTACTATGTATTTATTTTGTTAATTTGTAAAATTGAAAAAATATTAAATAGTAGCTTTGGATTGCTGGAGAGATTGTTTGTATGWAGTGGAGTATGATTACTATTTTTTGGCTACAGTATATTAAAATAGGAAATAGAAATAGAACTTAATTTAAAATTGGATAAAATAAAATAATTGAACTATAATCATTGTAAATTATAGGCAATGAACTGATATATTTTTATTATTTTTTTTAGCTAAATGAAGGTTCAATGCATTTGCTAGAAACTCCTTTTTCAAAAACTATTGAAGAAATGATAGCCTTACACCTTGGTCAACAACGTTCAATACCAGTTTTACTATCTAGTCTGACTATTGACTTATTTAGTAAGCAAAGCATGATCATGACTGCTGATTCGACACGGCTTGAATCAGCCATCAACTAGAATTGACTAGACCACGTGACTTTAATTATCCAACTATTAATATTTATTTTTAGATAAATCTATAAATGTTTAAATATAACTATTTTTATTTTCAAGAATTTACTAGAACTCTGTTTCATGATATAAATTTAAAAAAAATTGTTCATGTGTATAATGATTGACTTGCATAAAAAAATACTTTATAAATGTTTGCATTACATCTTATTATTAAATAAATTATTTAATCAATAATATTTTTGTCCATACTTTTATAACTTATTATTTTTGAATCTTATAAACAACATAGGTTTGACTTTTAATTCTTGATACCACAGGTGGAAATTTGTGATAATTTTAAAGGGGGCTG